CCCCAAAACCCCAAAACCCCAAAACCCCAAAACCCCAAAACCCCTAAATGACAAAATTCAGTTGAAAATCTGAGAGTTTCTCCAAAATTGTTATGATTTTCATAAGTTAACACTGACTGTGGAGACCTTTAATTTTTAAACGAGAATCCTGAGAAGAGAGTACTCTCACCTTCCTGATAGCTGTTCTTCTCCGGGTAACTGTTGTTGTACTTCTTCTTACCCGGATGACCGTTAAAATGCTTTGTCTGGACATTGTTGTGTAGCTTCGCTGGTCCAAACATCGGATTTCTTCTGTCTCTCCCTTGGCGCTGGGTTCTTTTGAACACATATGGCCTTTGGTTTGATAACTTGAACTCTGATTTGTATTGGGAGGGAGATATTTCCTTTACTTCTTCATTAGACTGTTTCTGAGCCTGACCAAAACGCTTCTTCTTCCCTTTATTTCTCTTGTTCTTACAGGAATATTCCTTAGATGTAATCTTCATCTTAGATACTTTGCTCACTCTAAATTTAGAATGAAATGGCTTACTTTGGGCTTTCTGATCACTGAGAAAATATATTCTCTAGTTTAATTCGAACTTTATCGTGCCTTCTGCTGGAAAATTGTGGACCCTTTCCGTCATATCTATTTTGAGTAGACCTAGATTTTATCACTAATTTTTACCCTTCTTCTGAATTATTGTGAGGTATTTTATGACGATTAGTGGTATCCCCACAGTCATTCTGAGATGCTAGCCATTCGTTTTCAAAAAGTTCATTATCTTTTGTCAAAAGATCAGCATGATCTTTTTCTTCGCTTCTAAAAGGGAAAACAAAGTCATCACTAGGATTTAGTAGCTGTGCTATGATGGGATCTTCATCGTTGGCATTCACCCTCTTCCCATGTTTTTGTAGATTTTGAGGACTCTTATCAGAGTCCTCTTCAGAATCTAGTGCCTAGAAGGATCTCTCAAAGCCGTCTTACCTGATCGCACATGAAATGGATTAGATCTTCACTCATAAATTATAAATAACCTGAACGAAAATTTTAGGGGTTTTGGGGTTTTGGGGTTTTGGGGTTTTGGGG